CTACTGCAACAACTGACAAGTCCAATACCACTGCCAACAAGTCCAATGCCGTCGCAGACAAGGACATAATTGAACAAGACGGATTGCTTATTCGTGAATTGGCCATGCAAACCATGAAACGCCGTACGGACAAGGCCCCCGACGGCGAAAGCTCGAAGAAGAAACCTGTTGTTGAGAGCCGCCGCTCACGATTGGCGTCAACGATGGAAATCGAAAGCGAACGCGAGCGGGCGACGCGTGAAAAAGAGTTAGAATTTCAGCGGTTCAAATTTGAATCCGATTCGAAACAGCGTGAAATGGACCGTGACGAACGCCAAGCCGAACGCGAGCACCAACTGGCTCTAGTACGCATCGAGAGCGAAAAGATGTCATGCCTGCTGAAAGCGGTACTTGAAGGTCGCAAGTAATTGAATTTGTTATATTCAATTGATCTATATTACATGGATCTCATCTTGTGTTAAGCACTCCTTCAACGTTGGTAGGCGCAAGCCGAAGTATGTTGAAATTTGATTTCCACCTTTGTAGCAACAATTGCAGTTTTTCAAAACCATTGCCACAAGGATCACACTGCCGACGTTCGAGAGCATTATTTTGTGGTGCATCTTGAAAGTAATAAATCCCCAGAAAGATTTTAGCCGACCAAAATTCCATTCAACACCTTGGTCTCATTGCAGCGTTGAAAAGTTGTTTTGGCTCGTCCAAATTTGCCCCCTTGTACCCCGAAATTATCCACTGATATGCTGGATCGCCGTAGATGAAATAACCACCGAAAATGTCTTCGTGGGATGCGAAAAACTCTTGCAATTTGCTGACGCGCAGCAGTGTTACATCATGGCGGCTGCCCTCCAAGGGGCCAAAGAAATGAATGCACAGTCCGTCCGGCGTTGTCAGGCCTTGAGAATTCAAGCAATGGCGTCGATTGTGACCGTAATAAATTCGCTTTTGCAAATTGAGGCCCTCTGCACCGCGCGACGCTGCGTTGATCCGGCATGTTTCAATTTTGGTGGCGTCGGGAGAAGCCCACACTTTCGTCAGCGGGGCTCCTTTATTGTGAATGGCTTCACATTACTGAGCAATACGCGTCCGTACGACTTTCGTGTTGCAGTAGATGGTGGATTGCCATGAGTCCTAGACAATTTGCACCATGTACTTGAAAATGCGACAGATTTGTTCCCGGGATCTCCCAAACGACGCCTCCATATCGTAGTACGTGATCGGATAACGCAGGCGTCGTAGCAAAATTGTCATGGCTTCAACACCAACAACACGATCACGAGCACTTAAGATCACAACATTCGGGATCCCGAGCAAGTCCGTCAGCTCAACAAAACCACGAACAACCAGATCGATAGGAGAGTAGCGCATCTGCATCCCGCATGTTAAGGTCAAATCGGATGTCCGGAATGAAAGGCCACTCGACAGAGACCCGTGTGGCATAGCTGAAGTTTTTACGATTCGCCCACTTGTACACACGCAGAGCAAGTTGGTCGTTGGGGTTCATTTTCCTTGCACCAAAAGAGATGACTTCTGCGCCAAAGAGAAGTTGCGAAACAACAAAACTAATTTTAGCGCTCCGTTTCGCGTTTCAGGTGGAACTGGAGCGCGAACGCCAAAGTCACGAGTTGCGAAATCTCTATAATACACACCACCACACTAAATCCTCATGACACTTACCCTTGGTCGGCATGTAGAGGTGCTTGGTATGCTTAGATGCGTTCATCACGACCTGCATCATAGGTTTACAAAACCGCCAAAGCTATGAGCAATCCAGGAGAGCAATCTTATATCATGATAATAATCGAAATGATATACTTTAACGCATGTACTAGTAAGCGTGATGGTATAGCTCATTGCTAGCAAATCGGAGGTTGAGGGCTCAAACAATCCCACGTAACAGATCTATTTTTTCTAGCTTTTTTCTGTTAACTGTAAGTGCAAAACTATTAATAGTACTAGTATACTCTTCGCTACTACTGTAATAGATCTTGAACAAAGCGCTTTCAAATCACAAAGCTTCAGTAGTAGCTAAATGGTATTAATAAAGTATCCAGCTAATAATCACGAGGTTGAGGGTTCGAGTCCCGCGACAGCCAACTTTATACTGTAAAACTCTCGATATGACTTTTCCAGAACTGAAGATTCCAATCACTACGTGGACACCCGTGTGTAGCCTTAGGTACATAACTCGCTGAAATAACTCTTCTAACGCGCTATCGTTGCATTGATATAAATCCAAACTTAAAGAAACCGTGTGAATGCCTTCTGATTAAGGCCCCTAAAGGACGATTGTTGTTCGTAGGTAGTATTGATGAACGGTGCATTGTTTATTAAAATAATGCTACGTATACTTAGTACCCCAGTTCTTAAGTGCGAATTAACCGCACCTAAGCGGTTGTGAGGACGATTACGTAAGGTTTTTGACGCGCCTACCAGAATGGTTTTCGGCCTTATGCCATCCATACCGGTGCGGTACGTCGGAGGCACTAGGTAAAAGACTAATTCGAAGTCTGTATCCTATGGTCTCTAAACATAGGGAGTAAAGGTACAGCGGAAGGTGGTATGGCGATGAGCTATTTGATGAATAGGGCGATCGCTTTTCATCATTCTCAAATTGCCTCGGCAGTAGACACCCAAACTTACCCATGGTGACAGTTCGCTACATCGTCTCGACCACCGTATTAATTGGCCTCTTGCTATCCACCATTGCAGCTGAAGGAGCAAGCACCCTGGAATTTACTACAGATCCCAACCCTACAGCCTTGGCCCCGAAAACAACCACCGCTAAACCATGCACGACCAAGGCTCCTTGTACCACGACAGCTGTTCATGCGACAACCACAGCAGCACCCAGCATCACCACCAAGTCACCTTCTACCACAACGGCTACTCCTGCGACTACCGCGGCTGCACCTAGCACCAGCACAAAGCCCCCTGGCACCACCACCAAGGCTCCTTGCACCACCACCAAGTCACCTTTTACCACTACTACGGCTACTCCTTCGACTACATCGGCTGCACCTAGCACATCGACGAAGGCTCCTGAAACCACCACCAAGTCGCCTATTACCACGACGGTAGTTCCTGCGACGACCTCGGTTGCACCAAGCACCACCACCAAAGCTCCTTCCACCACCACGAAGTCGCCAGCTTCCACGACAGCGGTTCCTTCGACTACCACCAAGTCGCCTGCTACCACGACGGCGGTTCCTTCGACTACAACGAAAGGTCCAAGTACCACCACCAAGTCGCCTGCTTCTACGACGGAAGTTCCTTCGATAAACACCATGGCGCCTGCTACAACGACAGCAATTCCTGCGACTACCACGAAGTCGCCTTCTACGACGGCGGTTCGTTCGACTACCACCAAGGCTCCAGGCACCCCCACACCAAAGCTCCTTGCACTACTTCCAAGGCTCCTTGCACCACCACTAAGGCTCCTTGTACAACGACTGTAAAGCCTTGCACGACTGAATCAATTGGGACACGTCAGTCGACGACGAGGCATTTGCGTTCGACCAGTTAGTCTCCATCAGTCGTTGGAGTCGTGGATTAAAATCGTGATTACTACACACATTTCTTCTTTGAAAACTGGTAGCTTTAAGCTTTGGGTGCTGCAGCTACAGTAACTGAAATCGTGCTGGCAACCACCATCGTTGTGTCTGTCATCACACCAGCGACAAATGCCATGTCGATTATTACCCGTGTGCTCAACCGCTGCTCTTTGATCCATTTGCACTCCACGATTTGATAACCTCGAGCTTCTCAGTTTGGTCATGTGAGAAAATGATCCGAAGCGGATAAACTCAACACAGTTGGCTTGGCGATTGTCAGTAAACAACAGAACAAAGAGACACATGAAGTAGTAGTGAGTTGTGGCTGAAAGACGGTAGAAACCAGAGAGAACTGTAGCATAGAGACCGTACACTAACATCGCTAACGTTGGTGGCGAGTAAGCTTACATTTCCAACGACCCTTGTAACGTTAGCATTGATTTATCCTATGCTTACGCCGTATACACCCACTTTTGACTTTGTTGCAAAGCACAATAGTATGCACGTTGTTTATTACTTCCTCCATGCAATACTGGAGACATATCACTATCAAATGAATATCTATGGCAAAATCCTCCAAAATCGAGCGAAATCTGGACCAACGAAAGCCAATGAAACGACAAGTACGAAGCTATTTTCAGATTTTTTTATTGCTTCTTGGCGCTTCACAACTAAGGATCATTTATCCCGACAAATGACAGCCAATCATCAAATTTACGCAGCTCAGTCATTTCGCATCCAATCGGGCTCAAATCAAG